TTTAGTTTTTACTTCGTTTATTTTCAGGCCTACGCTTAGTGTTGCTTCTTCAAAGTTCGATACTATATCCTTAACTTTCAGTGTTGTCTGTGCTGCTGCATCTACATCATCTGCAAATGCGAGAATAATCTTTGCTCCTCTGGCAGTTATGTCTGGTTTGACTCTGGTATAGATTGTTCGCATTGCGTATTCCAATGCTAGGTTAGATAGTAATGGGGACAGCGGGTCTCCCTGTCTGAGCCCGGTGCTTATGCCGAAAGCCTTTGAAGTTTTGCCTCGTATTCTAATTTGTGCAAAGGAATTGTTGACACACATTCGCGCCATCATGGTCAGCTTCTTTGGTACGCCTAACTCCATCATTGCACTCCAAAGTTTTAAGCGATCTATGGAATCATATGCTTGTTTGAAATCTATGAAGATCTGGTGTACTTCTTTATTATATTCCCAATACTTTTCTAGCATTTGTCTGATAGTAAATATTTGGTATAATTTTCTCTGTATATGGCAGTAATCGTTTTAGTACAACTGAAGCTAATATCTTATATGTAGTACCGATTAGTGAGATTCCCCTGTAGTTGCCGCATGTATCCTTTCTGCCTTTTTTATGTATTGGTACGATAATACAGCCACTCCATTCTTTTGGCATTATTTCTTGTTCCCAGGCTTCTTTCATTAATTGGTGTATTTTAGTTCTAAGTTCATGCCCTCCTTTTTTATTCAGTTCTGCATCAATATTTTCTAGTCCTGGAGATTTGTCATTTTTTAGGGTTTCTATCGCTGTCATAATTTCTTCCAGGCTTGGCGGGGGTACTTCTATCTCGGCCGTTTGGTACTCACAATTTGCTTTATTTCCATCCGCGTCTACCTGGACATTTAGAAGACTTTCAAAGTATTCAGCCCATCTTTCGATTATTTTATTTTCAGCTGTAATCATTTGCTCCTTTTTATCTCTCACAAAGTTCGGTGTTCTTATATATGCACCTTTCTTATGTTGTCTTACTTCTTTGTATAAATAGAATTTTTTATTTTGCTTGCTTCTGTGTTCACGTTCTACTTTTTCAATTTGTTGTTGTAAATGTTGTCTCTTTTTTCTCCTTACTGTTCTTCTGGCTAAGGCTCTCTCTCTATTGTATTGTTCACGCTTTTCATCCGTCGGGTTTGCTAGGTAGTCGATTCTTCTTTTGTTTGCTTCTTTTAAGGTATCCTCGCATTCTTCATCAAACCATTTTTTTCTTTTTGCTTTTCTCTTCCGACCTATACACTTCTCTGCTGTTTCTGTAATGATCGTTTTAATGGAGTGCCATTTCTGGTCTATATTTTCTCTTTCATTTTCTTTCGTTTCCAACACCTGGAGTCTGTTTCTCAATTCTAGTTGGTATTGTCTCTTTCCCTCTTCTTCTTCCAATTTAGACACATTCCATCTTTCGATCTTCATCTGTTTGTCTGTTGTTTGTGTTGAGATTCTAGTTCTGAGCTTGGCCTTTACTAGGAAGTGGTCTGTATCACTATCTGGTCCCCGTCTAGTTCTTACGTCTATTATACTACTGGAATGCCTCCCATCAATTAATACGTGATCAATTTGGTTCCTCGTTCTTCCATCATTTGATCTCCATGTTACCTTATATATTTTTTCCTTTTCTTAATAACAGCCAGATCAGTATCGTTGATTCTGTAAAATTTCTTGGTATTTTTATAGACAACAACCTTAAATTCTACCTTTATATCAATTTGTTAAGTAAAAAACTAGTCTCAGTCTGCTATCCGATAAGATCTGTTTCGAAGGAAATCAATTAAGCATATTATAAAATAACATATTTTTCTTTATTCGAGTCTCATCTTTGATATGGCCTTCCTTTTTGGGGATCTCGTACAGCTGCACAATCTGATGCTATTTTAAAATTACAAAAAAGTCCCGTTCACTGAGTAAAAAAATCTATATTATATTCGGCAAGAACATTATACAACCATCTCCATTTGCAACTTAAATCTACAAAACTTCTTTCCTTAAGTTCCGTAAATTGACAAAAGCCTATTTATCTGAACGACCATATTATTCGGTGAAGAAGTTTTTCTTAAATTTTAATTGTTGTTGTTATTTTTTTGACTTTTATACGCTTTGTCCATAAAATGGTACAATGTTCAGTGAAAATAACGCATATTTCTATTTTTATAACAACTAACATACGGTGTACCACTCCGTGCATAGACTATAAATATGCCACATAATCATCATCAGCTGTATCACGTAGCGCTACAACCCTGGGTGGGTCTTGGCTGACTGTACAACTTTTTTCCAATTTGTTTGGTCTTCCATAAATCTAGGGTCAAAAGGAATGTTCATTTTCTGGAAATCTGCTTGGATGTTATCTCTCCATCGCATTCTGGGACGCCCGAGTGGTCTTTTGCCTGTGGGAATCTCCTTTCATACCAGTTTTACAACTTTTGTGAACTCATGACTGGAAGAATTGGCGTTGAACCGAAAATATTAAAAACTATTTGTTTCATTGATGAATGTACTTTAATGCTGAATGGTAATGTAGATAAACAAAACTGTCGGTACTGGAGTGATGCGAATCTGCATCGATTCAGAGAAGGTCACACTCAATATCCTGAAAAACTGAATGTTGGGCAGGAATAGTAGACAAGTGGCGACATTTATCTCGATATGCTGGAAAACACCATCTAACCTTTTTTTGTGCATGACTTAGAAAACCAAAGGGACGATCAAGGCAACCTAGCTCTATGCAGGTCCAGTTAATCACTGGTTGGATACTAATTATCCAAACAAATGAATTGAAAGGAGAGGTCCTATTGAGTGGCCACCGAGGTCACCAAACTTACCGCCACCTGACATTTTTCTATGGGGTTACCTCAAGTCAGTTGTTTATAAAATTCAACTTGTGTCACTTGGAGAATTGCGAGATATAACTACGCAAGCATGTCGCGGTATTATTAGAACAACATTTGCCAAAGCTCATGCAGAATTTAAAAATTGGCTGTATTATTGTTTACAAAACAACGGAACCCACTTTGGACATTTACTTAATTGACATTTTTAACAAATTTCTAGTTCAACAAAAACCTCATTAAATTTTCCATTTAAGCCAAAGTTTCACAATTATTGCTTTACTCTGTATAATTATAGTATTAGTATTATAGTATTAGTAGGGGTTTGCAATTTAAACTTTTTTGGTTGTGTAACGATATTATTTTGCCTACCACATGGGGTAATAATACAAAGGATAGAAAATTGGGGGGAGAAACTATTGGGGGTGGAGATAAGGCAAGCAAAATAATCGCTACTGATGCGAACGGCACTCAGGGTTTCGTAGGAGAGCTGGGGTTGTGGATAAGTAAAAGATAAGGGCATTGGAATGGGGGAACTACAAAACAAATGAAATAAAGGGCTCTTGGGATAAACAAAATAAAAATAAACAAGAAACACCTCAAGGAATTTAATATAGGGCGTCACTTGAGGTGCCTAATTATACCTATTACAACCACTAGTTGTAACTAGGGAAATAATTAGAAAACAAAATCAAAACATAAAAAACATATCTTTTTCAAATAAGAATCAAAAAAGGTTTGACTCAAAAAAATAAATAAAAAGTTAAAACAACAAAATTCAACCTTTATTTATGTGTCACCACAAAGAGTTACATGAAGAAATACAAAATTCAAAAACTTACATGTGTCATCCATTAACAAACTCCATTGCTACAAAACTTACAAAATTGCATGGAGGTTAACCTTTAAAAAAAAAAACAAAACAAATCAACATCAAAAATTATAAAACGAGCTGTCATAAATTAACATTAAATTTCAAAAAAAACTAAACACAAATTGACAGCTTTACTCAAAACCTAAAATTCACAATTTTAAATGTCAACGAAAGCAATTATTATTTTATAAAAAAATGTCTGTCTTTAGTTTAAAATTTGAAAAAAATGTTACCTTAATTCACATGATCACACTTAAGTTTCTGAAACCATAACTGGAACCTGGAACTGAGGGCTCCACTCTCTCTGCATCACGAAAACCTCCATCTCCAAACTGCCAAAAGCCTTGGATAAAAACAGGAACAAAAAAAACAAAACGAGGATGTCCTCAAATCCTCACTCAAAACATTAATAATTGAAGCATTTACTGCCACAAAACCAATAACAAACTGCTACATATTCTTCATAACAAAAGACGAAAACAGAACACTTTACAAATTCGACGTGAATTTGGACATAACGCTGAACCGCTGTTGAAAGCTGCTCCAACGAGAGTGATGAAATTATCTATTAAAATTGAACGCATACATACAAACGCTGACATAACAAGACACCACGAAACGACGTACATATCCTTTTGCGACGCATTAACTTGAAAAGAAATTACCGAAGTAAAATAAACAACTCTAAAATGGTTTATTTCAACTTGGCCGACCTAAGAAAGAAATGAAAGGATATTTGGGTTTAAATACGTACGAAATATTTTTAGATCTATCAAAAATATATAAGGTGATTTTAATATTTCGTATACGAGGGGACTTCAATATACTTAAAAGAATCAATGAAATTGAAAATGCTACAGTTGTAGGGTCTAGGGGATTGAAGGGGGTGAGTTCTCTTTCATGTCATTTTAGTTCGCCTTACTATTCTAGAAACGGTTTCAAACATTTTTCGATATCAGCTTTTTTTCGTGAAATACAGTCCATTGTAAGTTTTAAAAACACACTGTATATTAAGAAATCAACATAAATAGTAATCCTAATACAATTTTATTGTGATAATTATTTACATTGATATTTTAATAGTCACAAATTATTTACTATCGGTGCATCACTAATGCCTATCTACATTCCATTATATAGACCATCAGATTAAGCTAGATCTGTCATGCAAATATCTGAAGAATTTGCATATAGCAAAACACAGATTAAAAATACGTCTAATCTAATCTCAGTATAGATAAAATACACACACTAAAACAAACAGACAGACATCATTGTTGAGTGAGTGTCTGTTTGAGAAGAATGTAAGTTGTTTGAACATAGGTCGTCACGTCACTTGGATTTGCAAAATTTGTTTCGTGAAACATGTGCTCCGTGTGAAAAACATTTAATCTGTTATTTGTTAATGAATTAGTGGTTTTTTAATTGTTATTTGTCTAGACTAAAAGTGAAAATGTCAATCTTTTGGAAAAAAAGAAAGAGGAAGGAAATTTTGGAGGACATGTGGTCTTTTACCTCAACCAGCACGTAGGTTTATTTATAATTTCTTGCTCATCATCATCGTAGTATACTTTTATTTATGTTTTAAAATAGCAAAAGCGGCATAAACATTATACCCAGTAAAACAGAGCTAATTTGTCAGGCATATATCGACACCTGATATGAAAAACATTGTAGCTCATTTTTGTTTAGTTCAGATGAGAGCGATTTATAAAAATTTCCAAAACATTTTTTTTAGTTCGTTAATTTTTTACATTTTTTGTAGTTTTCTTAATCCACATTTTATAACTTCTCAGCTTTTCACTTTCACGTACCGCATTGTTAAAATTAGAGGTCCTGGTTTAGGTCGAGTTACAATACCAAGTTTTTCCACTATTTTAGATGAAGATGAAGAATTTTAGATCATTGTAAGTGGTTTATAGAATGATATTTCAACAAAGTATGTTTCTTGGATTCTTCTTCTTAGAGTGCCGTCTCCCTACGGAGATTGGCAATCATAATGGCTATTTTTATTTTAGAACTTGCTGCTCTAAACAAATCAATCGATCTGCATTGGTACCAATCACGTAGATTCTTTAACCATGAGTTCTGCCTTCGGCCAACAGATCTTCTTCCTTGAATCTTTCCCTGTATTATCAGTCTCAAAATTTCATATTTTGGTCCCCTCATCACGTGGCCTAGGTATTCTAGTTTTCTGGTTTGTATAGTGGTGATTAGTTCTGTTTCTTTACCAACCCTCTTCTGGGATTAGGTGCATATAAATGGTAACTAATGAGTATATATCAAAATAAATAGATTATTATTAGTTTTTTTATTGATTTTATCTTAACGTGATTTTTTTACGGAACCAAGTTTCTAAGAATTCACATCATCCATACTTACAAGAAGTAAATAAAATAATATCTGTTAGATTTAATTATTACAAAACGATCATTTACAAATTATAAAACAGTTTATAATATTTGCATAACAATAACCTTTCGCACATCAATATCAAAGATAGTAAAATTATATACTTTACACTTCATCTTTTATATTAAAACAATGATGCCTCTAGAAGCCTAATCCGATCAAAATTGGACTACGGATGCATTGCATATTCTTCAGCGTCGACGTCAAATTTAAAAATCTTAGACATTGTACATAACAATGCATCACGCATAATCTCTGGGGCTTATAGAACAACTTCTGTTGCAAGCCTCGAGTGGGAACATGGAGAGCCATCATTACATGAACGACGGAAATTACTTAGTCTACCTTACGCTTCAAAACAATCATCACTACAACCTGACAAGTCTTGTCTTACTCAGTCATCGTTATCAAATATCAATATAAACACACATTTACCATTGCAATTAAGGATCAAAAACGTTTTAAACTCTATTGGATTTTTTTTAAACAATATCTTTCTCTCAACTTTAACCCTTAATCCTAACTTATCCCTTAACATTCCCTTAAATAATTTTTAACTTTCCCTCAACACATTCGGCAAACGTAAACACGCCACCTCCCTGATTATTACCTTTGCCTACTTTAAATTTAGAACTATCATCATATCAGAAATCTGAAACTAATCATCCACAAATATTTATAAGCAATTATAATAGAATATTTTCCCTGAATATATCCAAGTTTACACAGATGCATATAAAACAACTTCTGATGTAGGATCATCATTTGTTATGAGAGACATAATAAAAAGTGAATCGGTTATTTATGAAAGGCCTCATGTCACTTTTTTTCAAATTTTCGTTTATCTTAGAAAATGATAACCCATATGTTCACACATCGTTTGCTTATGAAAAGCCTCATGTCTTGTTATTCCTTTATCAAATATATTAGTTTAAAATTATTGTTTCTTTATGAAAAGCCTCGTGTCAGTGACAAGGGGCTTTTCATAAATAAAAGCACTGTTGGCAACATTGCGCTGTCGGCTGATTGTTGACAGATATTCAATGTTTAATTAAGAGATTAATAATGAACCTCTTGTTGTTTTATTTTATAATCAACTGTTAAATAATAAAGTAAAATATTTTTCTTCAGTTATTGTTAAAGTGATTTAACTTATGTTTTAAAATAATGTCAGAGAGTGAAAATCTCGTTGAAATTGAAGCAGATAGCAAGAAGCGAAAGAGGGGTGTTTGTTACCATGAAGAATATAAATTTAATCGAATTAGAATATCTAAATTACAGAGGAAATGTTGAACCACGCAAAACAGGATTACCATGCTCGTAAGTTACGTTTTATCTTATAACGTACTATTTTAGACAGGAAATAAGATGATAATTAGAAGTCAGTTTTAAAACCTTGCTTAGTTCCAAAATAGTAACCTTTTTCAAATGTTGCAGATGCAGATTGAGATGTTTCGAGAAGTTACGTGAATAGGACGAAGTTGAAATTTTATGCAGAGGGGCAAACTTTGCAAACAAAAATGAGCAAGACCTTTTTCACCAGTCCTTAATAGAAGTAGGGCCCGTACGGAAGAGGAGGTCAAGATTAAAACAAAACACTTTCGAAGATGAAGCTGAAGATGTTTTTTTTTAAGCCCAAACATTTTGTTCTATGCCCAAAGTTCTTTTAAATTCTATGCCTTGCTTCCTAAGAAAAGGATCAACATCTGCAAAAAGACTTTTTTAAGTCTGCACGGTATTGGTAAAAAAAGAGTAAGAAGACTGCGAGATCTTTTTGTAAAAGGTAAATCTCCTAGAGATTTAAGAGGCCAACAGAATAATCGGAGGACCCTTCCACATGATAATACGGATCTTGTAAAAGAACACATTCAGTCATTTCCACTGAAAACAAGTCAGTATTCTTCTAATGAAATAGAATCTCTAGATGCTAAGCTGGACATAAAAAAAATGTTCAATTTGTTCCAAGAGAAATATAACGACTTAAACGTGAAGTATAGTGAAGGCTTCAAATTGACACTTGTTGTGAATGTGAACTGCTCAATATTACAATAAAAAATCCTCAGTTAAATGAAACAGCAAAACGAGTTGCAGTTGCGCAGCTACTTGTGCATAAGAGACGTAGCAAAAATTTTTATTCATCCCTTCGACAGACGAAAGAATCGATGTTTGATTGTATGGCAAACATATCGCTTGTTACAATTTCAGTGCAGGAAATATACTACCTTAGACAACTGTCCGTCTATCCGTTTGGCATACACTACAGTAATAATGACACTGCAACATTTTATTTATACTACCAGGGAGTTGCTGGAAAGGGAAGTAATGAAGTTTACTGTTTCTTGAAGAAGTATATTGACGAGAATGTTCCAGCTAATTTAGATGAATTGTATCAATGACAACTGTACAGGACAAAATAAGAACCATACGATGATTAGGTTTTTAATGTAACTTACAGATAGTGGAAGATTCAAAAAAGTTGTCTATAGACTTAAAATAAGGAGTCACTCGTATTTACCATGTGACAGGGTCTTCGGCCTTGTAAAACGAAACCTAAGGAAACATGATAAATTCTACACTTTGAAAGATAAAACAGAAATAGTACTTTCATCTACAAAAAAGAGAAAATTTACTGTGGATTTAGTGGAAAATGCAAATGTTTTTTACTTTCAAAGTTAGTGGCCCAAATTTTACCAAAAAAATATTGTTTTAGAAGAAAGGAAAATTGAGAAAAACAAAAAAAGGCAATGTTTACTATTTCTTCGTACCATGAATTTACTTGCGAAAGATTTAAAAAAGGAGTGGTTGTTGTATCTGATTTCATAGATGGATTTATTAGCAAAACCTTTAAATTATTATCTAGTCCACTTTCTATTGCTGAGCCATCCTCCCCTTCCTCATTAGCAAGAAAAACTCATGAATTCAAGGTACTAATTCATTAAGAGAAAAATAATGACCTAAAGAAACTATTGCAGCTTGCCCAATGGCCTAGAGTTGCAACGAAAAAATGAGCCAAAATGTATAAAATGGCAACTAATTGTAGCTAAGTGTATTGTCTTAGAACTGTTTTAATAAAGTAACATTAATTATAAATAAACACGGTGTAAATTCATCCACCAATCAAAACTTTTCCCGTAAAACAACACTTTTGTTTATGAAAGGCCTTTTTTCAGCTATTTTCAATAATAAAAAAAAATATAATATTGTTTTTAAAAAGTGTAACTAAAATGATTTATTTTGGAGTTTTAAGGTTCTTAAAATGTTTCGAAAAATCAGAAAAGTATAAAATCATTTTTTATAAAACTAAACAGTTTTTTCTTGTTTTCCAAAATTTACATTTTGTGACAAGAGGCCTTTCATAAATAAGCGATTCAAGTTTCAAATTGCTCACAGAATCCACTGTCATAACTGGAGAAATGTATGCAATATACAGAGCTCTAAATCACATACAAACAGTCAAATCAGATAACTTCCTTATTATTACTGACTCAATCAACTCCCTCCATATACTGTGAAAAATGTACACCTGCAACCCGATTGCTAAATTAATTAAAAACAAGATGCAGCAGCTGGAAAACAGAACATTAGTCTTCGTGTGGGTACCATAATATATAGGCATTAAAGGAAACGAACTAGCTGATAAAAATGCTCGAGAAATAGCAAATTACCCAAATATCAGACCGCGAATAAAACCATTAGCAGAAGATCTCAATCCGTATTTTAAACAAAAGCTGATATTTTATTGGACTGAATGTTGAGAAGAAAAATCCTTAAAGTTAAAAGAAATTAAACCGAATTTTGGACAATGGAATACCAACATCCCTAGCCATTTCCATCAGGTTGTATTAACCAGACTCTGATTACGACACAGCAAACTCACACATGAATACTTCATGAAGAAGGAACCTCAACCAAAATGTACGAGTTGTGACGTGCCGTTACAACTCGTACATTTTGTACGGAACTCTACGAAAGACTAACTAATAAAATTCCATCAGTTTTAAGAGATATTGTTAGTAAGTGTACCAGTGAAAATATTGTGAAATTTTTAAGAGACTGTAACATATTGAACCACATATAAGTATTTTATTTATTTGTTATTTGTAAATAATCAATATTGTTTACATTAAATCCATCCGCTAATGACCAATATGGTTAATGCGGTTACCTTTAAATAAAAAAAGGATACCTTTGATTGGGGTGTAGTTAATATTTTTTGCAAATCGAAGCAAGCAGTTGCAAGAAGGTCGCCAGATGATTGTTTTTTAATTCCCTAGAATTTTTGTCAAAATTTCCCTAGATTTTCCTAACAAGTTGACAACCATATTTAGCCTAGAATGGACCACCTAAGTCTAATATCAGAATGAGCAGGCTTTTTAAAAACCTTTCCAAACAGTTCTAATTTGTGTGTATTGATCACATGAGAAGTTGGAAATATTGGTTTTTTAATTGTTTATAGAATAAATAAGGACTTTTGGTTATAAACATTCATTCTGTTCGATTGGTATTCTTTGCTGTTCGTGAATTTGTGAGGTAAGAATATCAAAGGATTAAGATATTGTGGCCCAGGTGAATCCCCGACGTAATTCGCCCTTTGTGAAAAACCACCACTCACACGAACAGTTAGAGAAAGAGAAACTATAAACCAAAAGTCGCGAGAAACCAATATATATTTTAGTCCCGGTGGATCCCCGACGTAATTTGCAGTTCGTTAAAGGAACATGAACAGAATTTAGTGATTCGACGAATAATACGATTTCCAAGTAGATTATAATATACCTATGTGCAATTTTGGAAAGTTTATTAAATCCAACTGATTTTTTAAAATAGTCTTATAGAATTGAATCAAAATCCCTTTTTCCCCAGGCTCTCTTAAAATTTCCTAGGTATAGAGAAAATTCCCTAGGTCTGGTAACACACTTACAACTGTTGCTGTTTTCTTCGAAATCCCGTTATCACGATTTTTGGCTTCACGCGCAACACATTTGTTTAAAATATCTCTCTCTGTCTCTCTCTCTCTCTCTTCAATCCTGACACCCGGAGGGAATGTAGTGGTTATCGTAATGTCGCGTATTGTCCATCTTCAAAGATCTCTGTCTCATGTCATTTGTTTTAACTCTTGCATGGGTCCTTTGCATATGCCTGTAATTTGATCGATTCATCTTGTTAGTGATCTACGTAATCTTCGGCCTTCTACCTCTCCTCGGACAAGTATTTCCATGTTTTCTGTGTCTGCTCTCATAAAATATCCAAAATAAAATATTTTAATTATTAAAGATACATCTTTGCTGGATAGCCGTCTGCTGACATTTAGCTCATTTAATATTGAAATATTTGTCCTGTTGTCGGTCCAATTCGTAACATTTTTCTCCAATAGAACATTCAATTTTTCCGCTTGTCGTAGGGTCCATGATTCACATCCGTATGTTTGCAATATGTGAAGCCTATTCCTTTTTTATTTGATCTCTTTTGCTTTAGTGTTATGTAAATTACAAGTGACACACAGATTTTTTTCGATACAAAAGCCGATAATAAACTCAGTATTTGAATATTTGTCTCTACTGACTTTTGGTGGTTGGCTTATTGCATGAGTGATTTTCTCTTTCGTTTGTTATTAACAATTTTAATTTGTTGCAGATGTGAAGAACTAGCTCGACTGATGGAGGAGGAGGACGAGAGAGGCCCCGAGGAGGGCCACCTCTTGGTCAGGATCCATGTCCCCGAACTTAACGTCCAAAAATGCCTCCAATTTCCTAGGGACCAATTAGTCTGGGACGTCAAGCAACAGTGTCTGGCTGCGCTACCGAAGGTAAGAGTTTCATTTACTTATTTAATTATGAATACGAATTGATATATACTTTTTATTTGTATTATTGAGTTATAAACGAGTATTGACATGAACTTTTTAAAATAATTAGGCGATATTGTCAAGTTTATTGTCAAAATTTACCTTACAATGATCACTGACATCTTTGTCTTTGATTCATGCCTTCGTATAACTCAGGTCTTCTCTGATATTTTAAACAACGAATTTTACCAATTTTATCTATAGTTTGACTTTTCGCGACGATGTTTTTTTTGAGTAAGTTAAAAATATATTTTTACTAATAGGAATCGTCGTTCCAGCATTTCCAACGTTTCATATTTCTTCAGTTCCATATTTTTATGTCGCGAAAAATTAGTTATTTCTCTAAAATTCGTATTTAGAATTTTATTCGTATCACTTTATTCGAAGTATTCGTATCACTTTCGAAAAAGTGATTTTAGAATTCGTATTTAGTAACTGAATCTTAGTTAAGAGAATTTGATGTAAGAATAACAGCAATCCAAATAAATGCTCGATCCCTCTGAATAGTTATTTCCGCAATGATTTCTTTGAAATTTATGGAATCGATTTATTACAGATTACTGATCTTGCAGATATATTATATATATATATATATATATATATATATATATATATATATATATATATATATATATATAAAGTTGTAAAAGAGCAACAACTTCTTCTTCTTGTAGTTCCTTCTTCTATCGGAGGTTGGCTATCATCACAGCTATCCATACCTTATTGACGGCTGTTCTAAAAAGATCCACTGAGCTACAACAATACCACTTTCTTAGGTTTCTTATCTAGAAAATTCTTCGTTTTCCTATTTTCTTCTTCTTCTTTTCCTCCGATCTTTTATAGTTCGGTTAAATTGTATTTTTGCTAGGAGAATTTTGGGGTAGTTCTGATTTTTTCATTCTATATGTTTTTTGGGGTGCTTAATCCGAATCTGGGGTTTGCGGACAAAATTTCGTGGCGCAACATTAAAAAAAAATAAAATAAACCGTTTTTTTTTTTCTTTTTTCGGGTTTTTTGCTTAAGACTCGAAAACTATCAACTTTTGGTAAATGGTCTGTTTATAGAAATTAAATTACTTGAAATTTTCTACAAATACCAGTATTTAGTTTTTTTTTTAGACGAATCGTTCGGTTTCTAGTGCGAGTTGAAAATTGTAAATTTTTAGCAGTTTATGCAAAACCCACTTTTTACATTTCAATATTTAATTTTTATGGATGCTGTCATTTGATAAATGTCACCTGGTTTTCCACACAAGGAATTTAAAAGAAAAAAGGGAAAAATTATGCAAAGTTAGTAGGTACGTAAAACTCATAACAAAATAAAACTTAAAATCTCGTTACTTATAATCATATATTATTATGATTATAAATTATAATATGCAAAATTTATATGACCCGTTGTCTTTTGGAAGGCGCTGGCTGAGGTTCTTCGATAACGATGAGTCCTGGTTCTGCTTGTTCTGGAAAATAAAAGTTTAAAGTTAAGTCATTTATCAAGAAGAGATGAAGATTGCAAAATAGATTGTGAGATTAAACATACCTTCTGCATCGTACTGAGGTTCTTCGATGGCATCGGGTCCTGGCTCAGGGTCTGATTGCTCCATCGTCAGCGTCGGGAGTCGTTCTCCTGGAAAATAAAAAGAGGAGAGACACATATCATATATCAAGGAGAGATGAATGACTACAAAATAACTTGTCAGATCCAACATACCTCTCTCTCTTTCTTTAGTTTCTTCTACGTCTATGTCAGAACTGTCTTCTGGGGGCTCAACATTGTTACACAGTCCTTCGCATGATGCGCATATTGGAGAACAATGGAGCCCCGCCTTCCTGCATCCACAATTGCGTTGACAGCTCTTTTTAAATTTACATGAAATGTACCGGGGTATTGAGTTTGGTGCGGGTTCAAAGTAGTTGGTACTGGCACAAGACCACTACTAGTTTTTTGCCATCCCCACTCACTTGAGTCTTTTTGTTGCTCGTTAGGTGTGGCTTGACCGGATAACCACTGCTGCTCCTGATAGTAAACTCTCAGTGAATGTTCTTGTGCAGCAGCTTCAGTTGGGGGCAATGAGGAAATGTTGGTCTTATTTTTGAATGATGAAGATACGTATTGTTTATATCTTAAATCGTTTAGTTTTGTCTCTTTTTTTCCATATAGAGCCGTAAGAAACATGTTTCCTGCTGTGGAAATCTCATCTTGACTTGAATTAGAGTCTTTGAAAGCTTCAATTACCGATTGCAAATCTTTGTTCTTCTGCAGGACTTTAAGAAATTTCAGTTTCCCTTGATTAAACAATGCAGAAGTCGTATCACATGCGCTACACCTACACACATACTACAACGTCTAGAACAGTTTAGCACATTGTTGCCGTTTGGAATGTAAAGCGGCTTTAACTGCTTTTTAACTAAGTTATTTTGATTTTTTGCAATCTAGCTATAATATTTGAGTTAAAACGTGAATTATCCGTGTGATTCGGTCTTTATTTTAATTAACTTAAATACTAGGGGAAATTAACTGAAAACCTTTCAATACAAATCTAAAAAGTGGGTTTTGCAGTCACACTGGTACAAATTGCCAATTTTCAACTTGCACTTGAGACCGAACGGTTCGTCTGTACAATAACCAAAATAGTGACATTTGTACAGAACTTTAAGTACTTTAATTTATGTAAACAGACCATTTACTAAAAGTTTTCGAAATTTAAGCAAAACACCAGAAAAAAAAGCAAAAAAAAAACAATTTCTTCTGGTTTTTTAAATGTTGCGTCACGAAATTTTGTCCGCAAACCTCAGATTCAGATTTAGCACCCCAAAACACATATGGAATGAAAAAATCAGAACTTCCCCAAAACTTCCCTACTAGTATTACTTTACAGTACAAATTTACTGAATTATTACCCTTGATTTTACTTTGCATTATGAGTCTTAATATCTTATATTTCGCACCGCTGCTAATGTAGCCTAAATGTTCCAGCTTTCTTCTTGTGATGTGTTTTATGACCTCGCAATCCTTGTGTAGCCTTCTCAACACTTCTGCATTTGTAACTCGTTGGGTCCATGGTATTTTCAAAATCCGTCTATAGCACCACATCTCAACTTCTTTATATTATCCACTTTTAGTGTCGAGCTTGCCATTCCATACAACAAAGTCGAGAACAAGTAGCATCTTAAGGCTCTTATCCTCAGCTCCAGAGGATGGTCTCGATTAACAAACATTGGTTTCATTTTTATATGTAAATGCTTGTCTTGCAATTTCAATGCGTGTCCTTATTTCTCTACCTTGTTCTCTCTCCTTGTATTTGCACAAAAAAGCACAAAATGCAGCACGATTCTGTACGTTCTCTTCTCTGCTCTCCCTTTTCTCTCTGCTCAATATATAATATACAGGGAAGCTTAATATTTCCAAAAAGTAACGCAAAACAATTGAGGATTGAACTAAAAATTATGAGAGAAAATAGAGAGCTGCTAAGCATTTGTAAAATAGCTTATCTAGCACAAAATTATCAAGAAAGTGGACATAACCATTCTCTCATAATAGAAGAAAGAATTAAAGACAAACAAAGAAAAAAGAAGAACATTTTTTTGGTACGCATGTACAGAAAACGGTTCTTTTCTGAAGGTGTTAAAGAACACAGTCCGTTTAAAACTTGTTGTTTTTCACACTAATCCACGATATAAATATGTACTGCCAGCTGCTATAAATCACTATCAAAATACCGTTGATAGCACCTAGTCCTTTTTGTATACGGAAAAATGATAAATGATAAATTCACCTTGAAAAGAACAACAAATGCATTGTTTGTTCAAAAATGTATATATACTATCGAGAATTACATATTTGTTGTACAAATAGTTATAAGTTTGTCTGTGTCAAAGTGTTTGAGTTAGAAGTTTCTTTAATAAGGCTCCTATAAAATTTTAAACAGTAATGTAAACGTGTTAAAATAAATTAGAAAAGCAAGAATAATATTATATCCACCACTGTGCATAGGAGTATTTATTGTAAGTAAATATCGACTTTCACAAATTCAGATATCAAATACTGTATATTTAAGAATTGAAGTTTCGGATCTGAGTCCTTATTGTTTATCTAATAAAGTTGTTAGATTATTGATTTTGTTGGTTTACATTTTATACCTCTTTAGGTATTAATTTATACCTCTATAATTGTTGGAGTTTTCTTTATCTCCTTTCTTGAATATTGGTATCATTATGCTGTTTCTCCATGCGTCTGGTATCTTGCAGCGCAATATTAGTTTTTGCATAAGTTTTGTCATCTCTAGGAATATACTTTCTCCTCCGTGTTTTAGAAGCTCGATGGTTATTCCGTCTGGTCCTGGTGACTTTCTATTTTTAAGTGAATTTATGGCTATCTCTACTTGTTGGATATTCCTTCCCGCTATTGATTTCACTATGAATGTAATAAAAACCAACTTGTTTTATTTTAACTTTATTCGATTCTAACCAACATGACAATTTTTGTAACATATATTCGATCACTATTCATGGAGTCTAGAGAGTCAGGCCACCTGTCGTCCTTCAATCTTGTTGCCAAAATAGATTTTTATAGAAAAGTCTGAACACTACTTCCTGAAAACTGATTTATTATTTCGTGCCTTAATTCAGGTACGTTATTGTGTTGATTATTATTTGTCTTTCCTTTAAACAGTTCCGTCAAGTTCTTTCCAAATAAAATATTGTCATCTGTGTGATTTGTTCTCTGGAGTTATTTTAACAGCTGTTTGGTTAAATTTTTCCACACATTTATACAAAATTTCACAAAAAACTTTTATTGGCCCAATTATTGTTGCATTTTCTTCTACTGTCGTTTTTTATATGCCTTTGTGTTCTATTGGTATCTTTCCAGTTTCTGATTCTAAGAGTTTTTTAATTTAAAGCTGTCAATATTTCAATAACTTTCAAAACTTTTTTTACCATATTTTCTTTGACCATTTCAGT